TGGCCATCCAACCAGCTTTCTCAATTCAGAAATTTCTGAATTGAGAAAGCTGGTTGGATTTCCAGTGAAACGTCTTCAAGTAAAATACAGCAAGTCCAGTTGCCTTTACTTATTTTTTACAGATATTCTCTATAGCAAGTTTCCTATATTGTTGCAAGGTTTGTGTATTGGTTGTAGCAAGGCTTGTGCGTCAGCTGTAGCCCTCCGGTACTTACTAGTGGCCAGACCCGCCCCTCGATTGCGCTTCAGTGTTTGGCTCCACCCCCCGGTTGTGAGGGTGGGGCCTGTCGGTGGTCACGTGATTGGGCTGCTCAGTCTAAAATGCCTGGGCCTATTTTTTGTCCCAGTCCGGCCCTGGACACAAGTGCGGTGGATCAGAGACCAGCACCAGCAGTGGAGGGACTGTCAGAAACGAGTGGAAGGAAGATGATTGCAGCAAGTGGTATCAAATAACAGCAGAATTGGGGTGGGGTTTGCCTTTAATGTCACTTTAAGAAAACCTTTAAGGGTTAGGGAACAAAAATGCTTTGCTATGTTTTAGAAATGTAGGGTGGGAAGAGAGGATGGAAGTAAAACAAGTTCCATTGTTGGTATCAGGGGAAGTAAAATAAGTAATATGTCTGTTGTCAGTGGAAGGAAAAATAAGCCCCAATTTTTGTATCATTAAAAGTAAAATATTAATTGGCATCAGTATGTGCTAAATAAGCCCCATATTAGTGGCAGTGAGAGTAAGTAAATGCTATTAATTATGCTTGTGAGGTAAATAAAATGAGTGGGATAAAATAAACCCCCATCACTGGTGACCCCTGGCTGCTGTGTCTTATCAAGGCACAAAGCATTTTCCACATACACTTACAATTGAAGCAAGTCTCTTTGTTGTGATATGTATTATTTTGTACATCAGATCAAACGGCAACCAATATGACAAATATTTTTTTCTCATATGCATGGTGGTTACATCAAAATTAAAAATATGTATTTATACTTTAAGAAACACCAAACAGCTTTCTTCAGAAAGCATTAGGTAGCATACTCAATAGGCAACATCTTAATGCAACAAAAAAGCGACTGATTTAATTGAGGAAAAAGCTAATCCCAACTGTCCAAACTAGGATTCACTTCAAATGTTGAATTACATTTAGAGAAATTATAAAACAAAATTGCACTTCCTCTCTGAAGTTGACTAGCTGCGAACATGTGGGCTGGCACAAACATTACTTCTTTTTAAATGATCACCTAAAATTAATATTTTAATATTAATGGTTTATAAAATGTGTAATGGTCACCAACATTTCCTGCAGGATCCCTTTAGCTGATATTTTCCCCATTACTTACTTACAATGCCATGTTCTGCCCTCTCGCTCTGTGTGTAGGCGGACATCTTGGAAGAGGAAGACTTTGTTCCCTTATGTCATATCTGCCCCTATAATGACTGGTGATTTAGCAGGGAGTTGTTTACTTGTTCTGGCATCTCCAAATTTCACGAAATTAAAAATTACAGGCTCTGTGCCTAAAGCTGGGTATAAACGGTTAGAATTTCTAACGAACTAAATCAATTTCAGAACCTTTGTTTGACTTTCTAATTGTTGATGCAGGAAAATCAATTTTGACCGCAGTGATGAAAAAAAAGGAGCATGTTGGAAAAATGTTCTTGAGCAAATAACATTCTAACAGTGAATGTGGTTTTCGTTCGAAAAACTACATTCATTCCAAAACCAAATGTTAAAAAAATTAAAACCAAATGAAATTTCGCACAACAATCACCAAGCCTCTAATGGTATTATTGATTGTTCTCATGGGATTTTTTGTACGAATGTTAATGCGAAAATCTACCAGTGTATACCCTTCTTTAGATTTTCTCACACTGCAGGTATTCAGTTAGAATTCAAGAGAAAAGGTAAACTTTTTAGGATACATTTTAGGCACACTTAACATTTCTAGATGTTCCATATAACTATACATATAACTAACCCTATAAATGGTGAACTAATGTGGCTGCTTACTGCTATAGCAAACAAACAACAATAGCAACTAACTACAAATAATGCACTTCCTGGCCTCTGAACCAAGGTCAGGTGGCTTAGATTGGCCAATAATGGGGACTTTGTTATGTGGCAAAACAAATGACAAACGCACTCATCAATTTGTTACCATCTTTACAGCAAGGTGCACACGGAAGGACTTCAAAAAGTAAAACAGAAAAACTATATGGAGGTGCCTAGACGTGGCTGTGCGGCGTGTATCCAAACCTCTGCTTTTAACCTTAGTGGTTAGACAGGTTTTTTTGCATGCTGGCTGGTGAATGTGCCTGGAAACTTTTTTCTGTTTTGTTATCACACAGGGCTTGGAGAACAAATTGTCTGGGAGCTAAGTGGCGTAAAAAATTTGGATTTGAACTGTTTGGGATATATTGAGTGCTATGGCAGCCCCCTCATTAATAAAGGCAGGGTTCCCAGCAGCCATTTGTAAAGCTAGCCATACACCTATAGATTTTCTGCAACTTTTCTATGGTCAGATGGAAAAGGTGCAACAGATTCCTCCATCTACTCTAAACTGTGTGGATGGAGGATTCTCCCACTAGGCCAAACTGCAGTATCTTGCTAGTTGGCCCCGCTGGCTGTAAAAATACCTGAACAATCTGATTGGATGCAGGCATTGTTCAGGTGTTTTGTAGTTCACAGAGTGACCTAGGCAAAGCTGATAGCACTTGAGGTTTCAGTAAAGCACAGACAGAGAGCATCAGTTCATTGGATTACTGGACGGATCAATAGATTTACACATCAGAAAAGACGTAACAAAACTCTAAAATTAGAGGTAAAAAAAAATAGTCATGGAAACCTTTAAATACTGTATGTTGAACGAGTAAAAAAATGAAGGTCAAGCAGAGGAAAAAGGATGAGCCACCACTATGATAATATACTGGAAAAAGAAAATAAGCAAACAAGCAACCATAACCATAATGTTTCTGTTTTAGTACAATACTAAATTAGATTGCCTACTGTCTTCTAACACCTGCATCAGGGATCCAGTAGGGCACCAAGGCACCTTAAAGAAGAACTAACATTGTTCAGGGTAATTTTATTTTTTAAGTTTTCCCTTTTTATTGTTAGTATACAATCTTTATTGTAGCAAATACACATTCAATAAATGACAAAAAAAATCCAGTAGCACCATTAGTTATCTATGGCAACAACACAGCAGAAGCTCTTGTCTTCAAACTCAAACTATCTATCTGAAACCGTGGACAAAATAGAATGATAAGGAAGGAGACACTCCAATGACTTGTTCACTTGTGTGTGTACATTTTTGCTTGAGCTGTGCAAACAATACCTGAAAAGGAGCCTAAAAATGTTTTTAGATTTTTTTAAACTCTCGACTGTAATATATAAACGTTCCAGTGGTAACTGGCCAAAAAGGAATTTCCCTTCAATCTCTCTTCCTTTGTGTCTCTGGGGCAGGAAGTGAAGGACACAGATAGCAACCAAAAAAATAAAAATACAATTCCATACACTATTCAGAAAAAAAAAAGTTTGACTTAAGATATATTTTTAAAACTTTATAGAAAAATAAAATGTAGTTAAGTACATTTTTAATTAAGGAGTTTTAGTGCAATACATCTTATAATTAAGTTTGCTTTTAAATCCCATGTTACAACAATAAAGTGTCAAGGTAACGATTTCCCACTATGGGATAGCTTCCTGCATTTACTGCAGAACCTGAAAGTATAAGAGGAATTGGAACTTAATGTAAATGCATACTTACATAAAAGGAACACCTAGATTCAGCAGCATAAATGTTTAATCATAAAATGTTTAATCATAAATGATAAACATAAAAAAGAGTTGTGTTTAAACATGATCAAAGTCACCAGCCACTTCCAGAGTGCTCGCATTTGGATCAGAAATGGTCAGCAGAGCAAAAGTGTTGGAAATAATCTGGTCAGAATGGACCTCATTGATTGAATGAAAAATTGTCCCTCCTAATCCTTGACATTCAAAGCAGGTGTGTAAGAAAACCTTTTCATCTTTTCATGCAATACATTATTTTATTATAATATGTATTGGGAATGGTCAAATACAACCTGGATAAGATCACTAAGGATAAGTGAATGCAACCCACGAACTAAAACTCACCATGGATCAGGCTTATTCACTTCAGAAGCTTCTGGATAATAAGTGACATAAGAAACCACTGTATGTACCATTTTGCTGCATGTGTGCATTTGCTGTTACATTGGTGAACCTCTCCATCACCATTAAATTATCATAAACAATTGCCAGTTTTGTTAAAAAGGTAAAAAGATAAAAATAAATATGACTTCTTTTTTCATCCTCTGTTGCATCTAAGAGCTGCTGCTCTTCTCCAGCCTTTTTGCAGTTGCTTCATGTCTATATGCATACATTACAGTGATGGCTGCATGACGTTTGTCAGGGTAGGTTTTTTGATTATTATTATACAGGATTTATGTAGCGCCAACAGTTTGCACAGCACTTTACAATATAAGGAAGACAGTTACAACACATATCAAGACAAGATTGTAAAGAGGACCCTGCCCATGAGAGATTACAATCTAATAGGTGATGGCTTCTTCTTAAGGTGATGGCTGGATTCACAATGTTCCGTGTGCATGCAGCACATGTTATAATGCCCATGTAGTTTACCTTTGCCTTTCACACTAAATAATTTAGCAAATCAAGCCCACAGTGTGATTTATGTGTTTTAATACCTGCATTTGACCTAACGTTTTATGGATTTAAGGTTTAATATAATCATAAATCATGCATTAAACATACAGTAGGGTCATGACATATAAGACACAGCATTAGTCCAAAGATTTTGTTTTCATGATCCTTGACTATTAATGTCTTACTTTATTAGTTACAGGTTTGCCTGGCATGCCAAATGAAAAAGGTAACTCAACTAATGTAGAAGAATTTATATTACTGGCCTTTACAGAACTACAGCACTTCCGGCATTTGTTTATTGTTTTAGTTATAATAATGTACAATATATGCCTTAGTGGAAACTTGATGATTGTTTTCCTAGTTAAGAGAAGCTCTTCTCTTCATAAACCAATGTACTTTTTTATCAGTGATTTTGCTATTTTGGAAATCATGTTCGTTTCAGTTATTGTCCCAAAATTTCTAGATATTCTAATTACATGTAAACATGGAATATCCTTCATGGGTTGCTTTGCACAATTGTATGCTGGTAATTCAACTGGTATAGTAGAATGCTATCTCCTGGCTGTTATGGCTTATGATAGACACCTGGCTATTCACAGTCCCCTGCTTTATGCCAGCATTATGAGTCAACTAAAAGTAAAGCTCGCAATACTTCCATGGGTTGCTGGATTTTTCATTGCTGGTATCACCACCATATTCACAGCCCAGCTTGAATTTTGTGGTCCCAAAAAGCTTGATCACTTTTTTTGCGACATGGCTCCACTTCATAATCTGTCATGTTCAGATCCTTTTTTCAGTAATTTGGTTACGAACATAGCAGCTATCTTTGTCATACTTCTCCCCTTTGCCAGCATCATGTGGATCTACATTCGTATCATCATAACTGTCGCAAAAATTAAAAGGACTGAGGGCAAGCACAAAGCATTTTCAACATGTATGTTGAAAGCTAGTCATTGTAGCTAGTCATTGTAGCTAGTCTCTTCTTTGTGACATGTATTATTGTGTACACCCGACCAAGGGGCAACGAATATGACAAATATTTTTCTCTTGTTTACACAGTGTTTATACCTACATTAAATCCATTTATTTATACTTTGAGGAACAGTGATGTGAAAACAGCATTAACCAGATTGTTTGGTAGCATACTTCATGCACCAAGAAGAGTGGAATAAGTAGTGCAACAATAACCAAAGCAGCCTATAGACTGGTATGGTGCCTGGGGGTGGAAGGGAGTCCCATTAGCGTAGCTGTTGAGGCAATTTAAACAGAAAATCTGTATGCTGTAAAGAGAATACATATCCTTATTTGTATTTTTAAGGATTGTAGAGGTTTCTGTTGACACTGATCCTTTACCCCCCTGTGACATTTCCAATCAAGAAGAGCTGACGTCAGTACGTTCAGTAAGGATAATTTATTTAGCCGTCTTAGTAGTATGAATGTATTGTCCTCAGAGCTTTTGGTAATCTTTGCCAGCACTGAAATGAACCATATATGATTTAAGGGTGTGCAAATCCCAGAATATTCCCTCAGCTAATAACTGACAGCTATAGTTCTCACAAAAAAACTAAAAAAACATAGCATTATTATGCTGCATAGTGCAAAACAATACTTCAAGACCACTCCCTACTGCCAAAACAGCAATGTGGAAAAAGTATCCTGGAGTGGAGAAAGACAGTGGTACAATCCCCTGGAAGGTTCTGTGACAAAATGAAGGCAGGGCTGACAAAGGAACACTCCTTATGTCACAGAGTAACCACTTCACCAGGAGATTTCAATCTTGTTAATTATCATATGATTCCTTTCACTCATCTACTGGCAATAACTTTCCATGGTGCAGAAACTGTGTTTAAACACAGTTTTAGCACTAGTATTGTTAAATCTATGTTTATTGTTTTTGTTATTTTTGATAAAGTTTAATTAAAAAAACATTTTCCCACGACAAGATAGGTATGAGCATACCATTTTCCATGACCCTCAGTATTGGGTAAAATAAAAACTTGTAACCCACAAAGGGGTATATCTCACAATATTCAGCAGGTGAATGGTCCTAACGCAGCTCCACAATGGAATGAACAGCATAGCAGCAATGTACACGCCCGTCCCGATGCGTTTCCTCCTCATGGACTTTTTCGTCCATGAGAACGAAACGCGTCGGGGAAAAGCATGTACATTGCTGCGTTTCTATTCATTCCATTGTGGAGCTGCGTTAGGACCATTCTCCTGCTGAATATTGTGAGATATACCCCATTGTGGGTTACACGTTTTTAATCCACATTTTATTGATGTAAGTTTTTATTGTTTTTTTCTCATAATACATTTGTTAAAGATTTTATGCTATGTGCGGTATATTTGTTTCTTTATCGGTGAGCTAAAATCCCGGCTGAGATCCATTTGTATGAGAAGTGAGGAGGAGACCGTTTTATTGATTCATAGCCATCATTTTTTGTAAGCCATCACTTGGTTGGGGAAAGTAGCGTCCTGTGATCAATGCCATTTGACCATTTGAATTTGGTGAGTGGGGAGCATTGTTTTTTCTTCGGATTGGGATTATAGGATTACACATATACATTTTTTTAATCAGTTATCTTTGTCCTGTGAGGATCGGATGAAGTTTTGTAATTTATATGGACTTTAGTTATTTATTTATTTTTATTTATATATATATATATATATATTATTGATCATCCTTTATTTATGAACACACTATTCACACTGTTTGATGATTTATGCTGATTGATTTGCATATCTTCGAATATTAATGAGTCACTCATTATTTCACATTGTTTAACATTTTTGCACTATAACTATTGTATTTTATGTGTACGCCTGATATACGGTGGTATACACACATAGGTGTGTTTTGGGGTTGTTTTATGGTTTACTTGGAGTCATATTTACCTAGGGGTCATATTTTATTGTTTCACAATAAGGGGAGCGGTGTATTGTTTGTTTTAGCACTCTTGTGGCCATATTGCTTTTGGCTTTGTTGGTCTTTCGCTGCAGCTGTCGTTTATTTATAAATATAAAGGGGGGGACATCCTCAAGCGCGAATACTAATATCTATAAACTATTAAACTATAGCTATCTTTATGTACATTTTTGCTTACCAATTTTTAAAATAAACATAGTTTTAAAGCATTGACACTCGTTGAAATGATTATTTATTTTAGGTTGACTGCAATCACATATATAAATATATTATTATTTTCTATACTGCCTTTCTGTGCATATTTCTCTCAGTTTCCCAAATATTTTGTGCTGACACATGTTCCCAAGTATGGCTGACAGTGCATATTTTTGCAAAATAATAGGTGAAATAATATTTTTTTTTCTAAAAGTCAACTTATTATCTTCAAAAAAGTCTACATAAATATTCTCATAAGTGTCTCTTAAAATCCCTAAATCCTTCTGCCCTATGGAGTCAGTTATGTGACCACTGACTTGGTCACCATCCAGATCATTTCAGAATTCCAGGAATTCTAAACTGTCTATAGCTTATAACAGAAGTCCACTGTACACTGTAGAAGAGTATTAGTAACCGTGCTATAAAATTAAAATGTCACTAACTTATACAATTGTATTTCCCCTTGACTGCATGAAAAACATGATCTTCATTGGGGGGAGGGGTGGGGGGTCAATAGAGAGAATCTTTGCAAATAGAAGGGTAGGCAACTTAAGATAATCAAATTATATGTATGATGATATTACATATTAAGACAGTGAGGGCATTCTATTTCATTATCAAATTTCTGTCTGTGTTTTCTAGTTCATATAGACAAACTGGAACACATTCTGGCTTAGATGGTCCATTAATAAGACCAGGTTAATAAACAAAGAGTACTCTCTCTAAAGCAATGTACACATGGACTTCAGCTTGTGTAAGGGCAATACGTACAGCACACTGTCATAAAGGTCTGATGATATTGTGCACTGACTTCTAGGTTACCATGCATTTTACAGTCTGAGACAACTCGTTTAGCAAAATGGGCCAATCAAATTATTACAAAATACTGCTAATTGCATGTCATTGTTGGAACTAGCTTCCCTTCGAGCCTGGGCTTTTCTATTTTGGGTGTATAGTGTATTGACATTGGGGTTGATTTACCAAAGGCAAATAGGCTATTTACTTGCAAGGGAATTTTCCTCTTAGATTATAAAAAGAGGAACCATTTTTAAGCAAAAATAGTTTTAAAATAGTTTTTTCCTTGCTTGTGATTGGGTATTCGTTGCAAAGTGAATTTTCATCACATTTACTAAGCAAAGGGAAAGTTACTATGAAAAGCAACCAGCCTATTTGCCTTTAGCAAATTAACCCCACTGTTTCATCACCTTTCTTCCTTGCTGAAATATGGAGGTTCAACAATTGCCGTTTAACACATTACTGATCTGTGGTCTTTTCTTTAGCTCAAACATTATTCACTCAGTATATAAATGTCTTTTTTATCCTGTCAACAAATGGTGTAATACAATGAGCAATAATGCTTATCATTCTACCATGTTTTAGCCCTATGGATCTTTCAAGTAATTTTACATCCAAGTGTGTCAGGTTAAGGTGCCAAATGCAACCAGGGGGGTTGTAGACACCTTGCGTTTGCTTTACCAAAGGAATAAATAATGTTCATTTAACTTAGAGGGTTAGTCACAAAAGAGCCGAAGGATCCAGCCGTAGCTTCGGCTGATCCTTCAGCTCGCTTCGGCCACCTGAGCTCTTCGGTCTAGTCGAACCAAAGGGCTGCTGTACAGGCTATTCACAATAGCCTGTACAGCATCCGAATGGCTCAGTCAAGCCGAACACATATGCTCTGTGACACCCGAAGCGGGGAGAAAGGTTGGCCGAAGGACCAACCATTCTCCATGCAAATGACAGCTGGGCAGAGCAGCCGTGATCTCACGGCTGCTTACTCATTCACAAGGGGGGTGCATCTGGGTACCCCTTTATTAAAGGGGTACCCTGATGTGAATAAGCTCCCCCTGCCCGCACCCCCACAACCAACAGATGTTTAATCGGCTGAGTCGAACTCCTTCTGCACTTCAGCTCAGTTTATACGATGAGCTCCTTCTGCACTTTGGCTCACTTCGATGTACTGCTGATTTTAGACGATGTATGGCTGAAATCAGCCATACAAGGCTGAAGTGAATAGCCGAACTGCATTCGGCTCATTTTACTTCGGCTGGGTTATTCACTCGGCTGCCTTCAGCAGCATTGTGAACAAATCCCTTAGGGAATAAGGTAACACTAGGCTAAGGCCCCTTTCACACAGGTGATCCAATTAGGTCCACCTGTCAGCTTTTTGGGTGGATCTGGTTGGAAGTTCAATCTTAAGGTGCCCATACACTGCATGATTCTCGTACGAGAATCGCAGGAAATCCCGCGATCGTACGATAATCGTGCAGTGTATGGAAGGCGTGCGACCGTTTCTACTGTACGGTCGCACGTCTTCCATCGAACAAGCAGGCTCGAAAACCCACCGGGAATCGTACGATTGTCGGCGAGATAGTGGCCTGCTTGTTCGACAACTGCCGAACATGCCGGTGTGCGCACGCTGCCCGTTTGCAGTCATCACGGAAGCCCACCTCTCATTGCAGTCATCGCAAGTACGATCTGCCTGTCAAAGATGGGCAGATCGTACGCTTTTTTAAGTACTTTACAACCTTTGTCTTGCGAGGGTTGTAAAGTGTATGGCCACCTTTACTCTGTGGGCAGCCAGATCTAAATGGATGTGGATAATTTTACAACCAATTAACCCCAACTCCACCTAGGTCCAGAAAAAATAAGAACAGAGTTCAATTTTGGTGGACTTGACCATAATGGCTCCAGTGATGGGACTACTAGTTTGTATTGAGATTGCAGTCCATCACAGGAGCAAGCTTGGAGTGGTGGAAGTAAAAAAAAAAAAAAAGTGTGGTGTGCAATATAGTAAAATGTAAAATTATACAGCAATGAATGCAGAATGGCACGGGCTATAGAGGACTACAAATCCCAGCAATAGCACATTATAGTATTCTGCATTGTGCTGTATAATGTGCTATTGCTGGGATTTGTAGTCCTCTATAGTGCTGTATAATGTATTGCTGGGTTTTGTAGTCCTCTATGGCTGGTGGTAATCTGCATTGAGCTGTATAATGTATTATTGCTGGGATTTGTAGTCCTCTGTATAGCACAATGCAGAATACCACCAGCTATAGAGGAGTACAACAAATCCCAGCAATAGTACATTATACATACAGTGTATAATGTATTGCTGGATTTGTATTCCTATGTATAATATACAGCACCATGTACCATCTGCTATAGAGGAATACAAATCCCAGCAATACAGAGGCGGGGAGGAGGTGCGATGTGTGGATGCGGGCGGGTCTGGCAGCGGCAAGTGTGAGGTGGGGAGGAGGTGCGGCGTGTGTGGATCCGTGAACAGGGCCAACTAATCGAAAGCCGATTAATCAAATGATTGAAAACATTGACAACGTGTTCAATCATTGATTATAATCGACTTAGTCAATTAGTTGTTGCAGCCCTACATTCATCCCCAATTTCTGGGGACAGTCCCCGGATTGAGGAGACCATCCCCAGACAAATTATGTCCCCAGGAACATAAAATAAACCTTTTTTTTTTTTAATACTCACCTAATCCCTGGATCCACCAACAAGCGTAGCCTCCCGTCTCCCACGCTGTCAGAAGCGGCATACAGCATATTCTGATTACTACTTAAACCGGCGCGCTGTGTGCAGATTCTGAGAAGATACACTATTAGCACAGCGAGCAAGCCGGCTGCGCATTTTGCATAGGTCGCACACGCTGTATGCAGTTTCTAACAGCGTGGGAGACGGGAGGCTGGGCTTGTTGGTGGTTTCAGAGATTAGGTGAGTATTAAAAAAAAAAGTTTATTTTATGTTCTCAGGGACAGGAAAAACTTAATAAAAATACTTTGAAAGATACAAATATCCTCTAAGAATGTTGTTAACCTTACCTTACCCTGGTGGTCAGTGGGGGCTCTCCTGGTGGTCAGTGGAGGGCTCCCTTAGTCCTAGTTGTGGGGGGTCTGCTGTGGCCGCAGCTGCAGTGGCTCCCTCCCTCCGCAGCCTCTCTGCCACATGCACCCGGCCGGCCGGCCAGCCAGCCCGCCCGCCCGCATCAGATGTAAACGGCGGCCAGCCGCTTGCTCGCTCCTCAATCGGGTCCTCGCAAGGCCCTAGCGGGCGGCCCTTTACAATGCCTAATTAGAGGGCCGCATCTGCCTGATCCAGCCCAGATCACATACGAGGCAATGGAGTGAAGCGTGGATGCGGGCGCGTCTGGCAGCGCCAAGCGTGAGGCGGGGAGGAGGTGCGACGTGAGGATGCGGGCGGGCGGGTCTGGCAGCGCCAAGTGTGAGGTTTAAATGATCTCTGTAACTAATTAAATTCCCATCAATACAAAAATTATTCTTTTTTTCATTGGCACACACATATCAAGATAACATATTTTGCCTCTAAGAATGACTCTCATTTAATCACAACTCCAAGGGGAAATTAATCAATGTTTTTTTTTCACAATTTGCTGATTTTAGATTCTAGTCTCAAGTGAAAAAATTATTTGTTTTAGACTGGTCCATTGTTTAATAAGTCTGCAGGGTCCTTTGTTTTCATATATACAGTATAAATACACATTTGCATGGTAACATTAAATGTGAGTGTAATTTTTAAAGACACTCTTCCTGCTTTTTAAATAATCGTTATCATCATATGTTCTTTAATTACAATTCTGCTCTTCACACAGACTATGGGTGATAATGCTTTAGTAAGTATAAACTTCTTTACACGCTTTTATTAAATTCCAATAGGATTGGAAGGTTAATACATGGGATAATTTTATCTCCTATGCTCTATTGCATTTGGTTGTTTTCCTAGTCAGGAAAGTGGAAAATGAGCATCTCTATAGAGTTCCAGAGTAAATACAGAACACTGTATAGGAGGTTTGCCCTGTGTCTGCTTAACTGTAACAAGAGATAGTAACTGGAACTTATCTTATACAGATAACTCTGGATGTTGGTGGGTGGGGAATTATACAAAAAGTATTAAAGGTGCTTGCTTTAAATGTACGTTGATTTATTGGGGGAAACAATTGTACAGCCACTTAATTTTTGTTTTTGTTTTTTTGGGGTTTTTTTTTTGGAGGGGGTGTTGCACATTAATGCTTCAGGGATCTGGATCTGGAATATTATTGACAACAGATGGTGTCAAAAGATGCAGTCAAGGACTCACCAATAAATACACTACAAGCTCCTAATTCTCTAAGGCATAAATGATTCAGTCACCAACTGGACCTAAACTAATACATTTCCAAAGCACTAAAAAAAGCTGAAATGGTTTTCCAAAACTCCAAAACATTTTGGCTGTACTCCTGTTAGTTGTTTTTAGTATAAATAAATTGAATCCTAAAAACATCTTGGCTACTTTTTGTGGTCCTCATCTGGAATGGACACTGGTGCAGATGCAGTACTTGAATTAAATCTAGAACTGCTATTCATCAAGTTCAGTTCAGATGGTGAGAACCTTTAGTAAACAACAGTTTACAGTTTTTTTAGTCCAAATGTTAAAAACAAAAATTGGATTTCAATTGACTTTGCAGAGCCCCTTTAAAGGAAACATTTTGAGGGGAATTTTTTAAAAACTGGAGCAGTTGGCCATGGCAACCAATCAGCTTTTTTTTCCTGTTTGTTCAGTTAAGATTTGAAAATTAAAGAGAGAAGCTGATTGCTTACTGTGCACAGCTGCTCCAGTTTTTGTCTGCACCAGTTTTGATAAATTCCCCTCAAATGTT